TGATCTCAGGCTCCGCTTCCCATCCTTGATGAAGGAATGTGTTTTTTGAATCTGTCGTGCTGCTTCCTCCAGTCAAACTGTCAAGATTTCCCCAACAAAAGGCGACATGAATCCACGAGGGTCACATCGCACCACACCTGCACCTGATCAAAAACTTTACTAAGCACCTCCGATTGATGTTGACTCTGTTCTCATTCTTCAGCCACATTAGAGAATAACGGTAGGAGTACTTCTAAATAACAAGTCCCAATTTATTTACAATCTGCGTAGATGCAACATTCTTATTTCTCTCATCGATCATGAGACTACAGATATTCCCATTTATCATGCAACAAGTGTAGAATATATTGTGGAGAAGCCACTGCAGATCCCCGTATCATCAAATTGTAGGATCCGTCAAAACACAAATATCTCTACCTAATTTGGTGGTAGATTGTACACCTCACTTGATTCCTCAACTTTCTCCAGATCAGTAAACTCCACGGAGCCCTCCTCGATAAAAGATACAACTCGGGTTGTCGGGCAACTGGAGGCAATGAGGCCAAATTTGTGGCATTTTAAACATTTTCAGTAGGGGATTGTAGCAGATGTGCTACTCTTCTCAAGCTTCTTCTCACTAGGGGTGACTCTATCCCTATTCGAACCTGCTTTCTCAACTACTTGAGGTGAGCACCTGTTGGTGTCTTCAACTATACTAGTTTTCTAGCTAATACTAAAGTTTGGACATCTTCAAGTGACAAATAAGACTGCAGTTGCACCAAGTTGCTAACAATGGCCTTTAGCCCCCCCCCCCCCCCCTCGTTATTCCTCTAGCTAATAATAAGTCACTAGTAGTATATTCCTCAGGCTAGTCCAAATCACACCTCATCTGCAATTGATCAAACAATATCGTGAACTCCTCTGCTGAAAGATCCCTCTGCTGCAGGTGTAGCCATAGAAAGATACTCTGGTGGTAATGGGGTGAAAGGTATTTCTTCTGAATCGTTTTCTTTATCTTCTTCACTTGATAATCTTATCGTTGTCTTTCCTCTTCCTGTCTTCACAAGTTCTCCCACAACAAAAATACAATCTTCTTCAACTTGATAGCAGCTAATTTGAACTTCTTATCCTCTGGCACATCCTTATACTAGAAGATTCGTTCAACATATTGCAACCACTAAAAAAATTCTTTCAGATCAATACTTACCCTCAAATTTTGGTAGATCCAACATGATTTTGTAATTTGTGACCTTTAACTATGGTAAACTCTCTAGGCCTCCTCTAATACTGGATTCTGAAATATCATGGTCTTTCATCTTTCTTACTGACATCCCCTATAGAAGGGGTTAAAATTTTTGTCCCTTTAGCCTCTTCAACTTTTCCTGTGACCATCGAGGGTATGTCATTCTGGGATGTCATCCTCAATGTCCGCCAATCTCCACAGAAATTGACAGATCTCTCAGTGTATCTCTTTTCAGATAGGCTCGGGCATATATCTCTTAGATGGCATGATCAAGGTTTGGGATTTATGGAAGTAAAAAAGGTATTTGGTGGTAGGAAATACAATATTTGGTTTATGGTGAATGCTAGGAAATCTTAGGATAGAACTAGGGTTAGGCTAGCTCTGATATCAAATGATATCGGAGTTAGCCCAAACTACAGTAGAAATAGAAATATTATTGCCGAAATTCAAAAGAGATTGCAATAGCGACACTCGAACCAATAAATAATGACAAGGAAATAAACGACAAACAACACCCTAGGGGAGGATGAGGCTGGGGGGGATGGTCGGATATCAGGTGGAGGGGTTGATTAGCAGTTGCTGGTGTGGTGGAACGGATGAAAAGGGTTGGTCGGCAGCCTTGGAAGGCGGAACCGAGAGCCGATAGTTTCAGGGAGGCAAGGGGAAAAATGGTGACAGTTGGTTGGAAGGTTGATGGTGAGTGGCAACAATGTTGAAAGGAAGTGGACGGCTGACTAGAAGGTTGGTGGCGGGCAGCAACAATGCTGGAAGGAAATGAGAGGCGGTTGAAAACAACAAACTGAAGGATGTAATGGTCGGCCGCAGTGAGATACAGTGACCGGGATACAATGACCGGGAGCAGTGGGGAGAAAGTGGAAGGGATAGGATGAAAATATTTATCATATTAAGAGAGAAATACAGCCAAAGCAACACCTAATTCCTCATATACAACCCTCAATGAGGAAAACGGATGTCAGAGGCTATCCTAACAGAAATTTGAAATCTGGAAATCAAAAGCTAACCCTAAGCAAGCAAAACCACACATATATAATAGCTAATGGAAAAAATAGGAAGGCGACAACCAGAAGGGAGGAGGAAGAAGCTGCAAACAGGAAATATAGGAGGCTTCGGTGGTACTTCCCTCCCCTGGGAGTAGAAAACCGGCCGATCCAGCCTCCTGCTCTGATGAACCGGAATATTCCAGGCTGAACCAATTGGTCAATTTAACAATTACCCTAAGCCTCAATCGGTTGGTTTTGCCTTTCACTCGAGCCCCGCGTTCCTCCAAATCCCTCATCACCAATGCCAACGAAAGGCAAACAAATTACATTGTATGATGTGCATATAAAAAAACCCTTAACTCCGTCTAAATTCATAGATCCAAGTGCTTGGCATGATGGCATCTTAGATGGATCAATAGAAAAGTATGGTATAGAATATAGCTAGCAAATTAGTTTACATTTGGATTTAAGTATTAAATTTACCCTCAGTAGCTTTATTTTCATAATTTATATATATATTCGGCTATTTTAACATTTAAACATTGTTTGATAAAATCACGAGTTCTAGATTGACTTAGAAAACTACGATACAATAAACTAGGCTGCATACAACCGAGTATTTTAAAATTAAAATATCACTATAAGCTAAGTTAAGTGTAGTGAAAATGAAGAGAGAAAAGCTAAAGAGGATGGTTCAAGAAATGATTTTATTGAAGAGATTGTAAATAACAGTGAAAAATAAAAAGCAAAAAAATAGATTTAGCTGGTTTGGGAAAATACAACAATGGATAAAAGTGAAACAATTAGGATGGTATAAAAACATAAAATGTGGGATTAAAAGAAACAAGCTAGAATTAAAAAAAAATTTAAATTAAAACCGCATGTAATACTCAATAAGAAAATAATGGGTTGGAAAAAGGTTAACGATGATGAGCTATTTATCTAAGTCTCGGGCTTCCAGTTCAATACTATATTAATTTAGGGGTTTCTAAGAATATAAGAAAATGCGCATAAGTAGGACCGTCAAAAAAAACTTCTTGTTCGTGAACAGCTCTTGTTTGAATCGTTAGTTAAGTAAACAAGTCGAACACAAATGATTTTTTTAAGCTCGAATTATAAACGACTTGAACACGAACGACCCTTTGTTCGATCGTGTTTAGCTCGTTTTAGTTCAAAATAAAAAAATTATATATATTATTTATATAGTAATATATTATATACCTTTATATTTAAGTTTAAATCATAACAGCTTGTGTGGTCCTGTGGTTTTGCATCTTTTATTGCATAGAATTGATGCAGATTCAAATCCAACACCTGGCATCTATTTTTTTAATAAATTCAAACAATTCAATTTTGAGACAAACACGAAAATATTGTTCATGAGCAATTTCGAACACGAGCCAATTCAAACATGAGCTAATTTCGAACAAACTAAATATGATCCAAGTCTAAGTTCACTCAAGCTCGGTCTGTTTGCAGCCCTACATAAGGAAAGCATACATAGCTAGTCAATCCAAACACTAAAAAATATAGAAAACTACATTTAATGAGAAAATTGTAGCAAATATACATTTCCAGAGCTAAGAAGCACTCCTAGAGTCAAGAAAAGGCACCTAATGAAGAAAAGCAAGAATAGTAGGATATCAAGTAAAAGTGCAAGTAGCTAAGAAGTCTTTGCATGGAGAAGAAGATAGTATGCACATTGATCTCATGCCATTTTCCACAGACTTCACACATCATTAGATATTTGAGCTTCTGATATAATCAACAGTAGTTTGGAATTTTGTCGTAGAATTATGATTTACTTAATTTGTTTGGAGCATTATATTATCAGTTTTACTTGTCCATTTGTTCATGTTTTCAAAATTTTGCTTCTCAAGAGGTTTGATTATTTATGGAAAATCTGCCAAACAATTGCTAGAGCAAATCTTCTTTTAGTTCAACTCTTTACGTATTTTAAAGTAGGATAATTGTCAGAAAGCAGAGGTGTGATGTTCATGTTTGGATGAAAAAGGTAGGGTGACTGTTTCCATCATTTAGAACAATTTGACAGAGAAAAAAGCTGTTACTAGATAACCAATTAAGAATTTAGCCCATAAATCATATTTTACAGAAGTAGAGAATGAAAAAAAAATAAGAGAGAGACATAAAACAGAGCTTGATCTCACTTTTAACATGTATTCCTTCACTACATTTCATGATATTGATTAAGGGTGAAAGAAATTTCACAATCTAATTCGTTTCACTTATTTATATTGATTCATCTAACCAGTCACATTAAACCTACTTTGAATTCTGATATTTAAACTGCATATAATTTATATGAAAGGATAAGAATGCTCGTTGTTATAAATTTAACATTTAATGTCATAAAATTTTGGTAATTTTATTATGCTAAGTTGTTGAATACTTTCACCCCTTGTAATATTGCCTGTTTCAGGCTTAGGATTTATATTACATATAGATGGTATTTCAATTAAATCGCTTATTTGTGTTTCGTTCCTGTCTCGTTTTTAAAGCACCCAAAACAAAAAAAAAAAAAAAAACAAGGTGCTATTACAAGTTACTCAATATGTGAGACGACAAAGGCTATACGTAAAAAGTCCAACCAGCTCTCATCAAAGACTTTCAAATATGAAATATTTGTTAACCTGGCAATAAGCAGGCTTAATCTAATAGCCCCTTAAGAAACAAATTGAGCAAATGAAGTATAATTCTAGCCAAGTGGGAGAAATAATGAGAATATAAAGTAAGAAATCTAAAAGGCTTGATATAACCTCCATCAAAAGGCGTAACTGATGTACGTGGTCTCGTCCTGGAAATAAGGGCTTGCGGTCCATTAGCTCCATAAAAATGCAGCCAACCGACCACATGTCAATTGCTGTTGTGTACTCTGAAGAATTTAACAAAAGCTCTGGTGCACGGTACCATCTTGTAACAACATACTCCGTCATGAAATCAGTTTCTGATGTAGTGCGAGCCAATCCAAAGTCGCATATTTTCAAATCACAGTTAGCATTCAGTAGAAGGTTGCTGGGCTTCAAATCTCTATGAAGAACACTAGCTGAATGTATGTATTTTAGTCCACGAAGGATCTGATATAGGAAATACTGCAAATAAAAAATGGGAAAACTCTTAAGTAGAGGTACACTTAAAAATCAAACAATAAATAAAGCAATGCACAAGGCAGGCAAGAGGCATGTAATGCAGTAAATAAATTACTCATAATCAAATGAAAAATTATTGGCTCAGATTAGTACAACATATGCGCCGAGCTAGCAATAAGCAAGAATGGACAAAAAAACATAACAAAAAGTCCATGATTCTTAGAATTCCAAGCCATTTCCATGACAAGTAGAGCAATGACTTTGAAAACTACTTTCTACAGACAAAATTTAGATTTTCTCATTGAGAAATACCATGCCTACTTCACTTTGGGCTGCCAGTATCTAGTATTCAAGTGCATTCTAAATGAAGTACAAATTAAATTCACTGTTTTTGAAATATTTTATGATGCTTAGTTAGTTATAGAATAAATTCAGAAGATTAATCTTTAGTGTTTGCATTGGTATAAAACAAGCCATAGTTTATCTTTTAGAATAATTTATTTTTTAGGCAACAAAGCGGTGAGTGGCATCTGTCTGTGGTGGGGAATGGCGGGGGGGGGCAGGCGGGAGATCAAATTGTTGGAAGCGGTGTAGTTAAAAATCACAAAAATTAGGTGATATTAGGAATACACCAAAAATAAACAAAAGGGTGAATTCCAAAGACATCAATAAACTACCATGCATTCCTTTTCTAATCGAACTACTAAAGTTTCAAAACACATGCATTCCTTTTGGACTACGCTGGAAATACTTCAAACCAAATAACCCATAAGTAATTTGTCAAAGGAATTTAATGGCATATGTGATGAGACTACCAAGGATGATACAAAAGAAGATGAAGTAGCAATTTCATATGAGCAGCCCCGCAAAAAAAAATTGAGGCGCTATATACATTTAATAATATAATAAAGCTAAATTATCTTCTTAGTTGATGCACCTACATACAGTACGTATTGAAGCACATAGAAATATTTCTTAGAGATACCAACAACAAAGGTAATGAAGGTTTTAAGATATCCAAAGCATAATTTCCAATTCATGGAGAATCAAGCAATGAATGATGAAATATTGCATCTTACACAAATCTTGAACCATGAGGGAATATCATAATACAATTTCCAACACATAGTTCATGTTGGATCTAGAGGGTAAAAAAATAGTTTCAGCTTGAAAGCAAAACTTGAATTGAGTTCCTTCCACTTGCAGCAACCCTTACCCATTAACTGACAGTTTTTGGAATGATGAAATCCATCCATTAGTGTATTGGACTTTAAATTGGCCGGCCCCCTGATGTTTCACCCACATAAAAAGTAGTATAAAAGCTAAGGTTTGCCCGGATCAAGTGTTTCACACGATTTCCAGCTCTCATGGGACTTGATAATTTCTGAAATGGTTGAGCAAGTTTATTACAGAAATCTAAACTTTAAATTTATCAAAAGTGCATGATGTGAATGTTGAGACTAGCACCATGTTGGTGCCTATGACAAAAGGATGCATTCTCTAATTTTTTATTTCCTCAATCAATTTTAGTTTACTATTTGGACTGCAAGCAAGTCTATTCAGTTCTCATTGGATTCAGCACTTACAATTCCAAATTTATGTCAAACCACTAAATTGCTGTTCTCCAAGTTTATATTCCGAGTCTGTATTTTAGAAAAGATTGGATCCCTATTATTGCAGCATTTAGTGAGTGGTACTGTTGGCTGTCGCTACTCTCCTAATTGGAGACTTGTCACCTGCAATGGAACATGAGATTGTTGAATGAAGTAGTCTTAGCCAAGTTTTAAGAATTCGGAGAAACTACCAATTATGGATTAATGATGGTTATAAATAAGGCCATATTGTAAATAAAAATGAATGAAATGACTAATACAATTTATTTTGCCTCCCAGAACTTGTGTTATTGGATATGAATTCTTTGAGCATGTTGCAAGTGTTAACAATTTTTTTATGGAAGCTTCTCCATACATGTGTCAGTCTTGGATCTTCTATTCATTGACCAATATCTTCATTTTTTTTTCAACCATGCACTTTTTGATGATTTTAAATGGTCAAATTTACTACACTTTTCCTTCAGTGATATGAATATTAAATTATTTCACTTCAATTCCATCTTAGATTTTGGCAAAAATTTACATTATTATTTAAAGCAAGCTGTACGTATATTTTGGTTTTACACCATAAGAAACAAAACATTGCCAAACAATTAGTAAACTGAGAATTAATATCTTCTATGCATGCTTTTGTGCATTTCACCTTAGGTTTGTGTTAAGTAAACTCCAACACATTTTGCATCATATTTTGTATTAGAACTTATGGTTACAAATATCATGTCAGCTAGAATTAAAATATAATAATTCATGTCAGCTAGAATTAAAACATAATAATTAGGTCAACAACAACAACAAAGCCTTCATTCCACTAAGTGGGGGCTATATGAATCATTTTTTCTCGGTTGCCCTATTAAGCGTCATATTTTAATTTAATTCTAATAGATTAAGATCAAAACTATACAATATGTCCAACTCTTTTTAGATCTACCTCTACCTTTTAAAACACCTAATCTCCTAAAAGAATCATCAGATCATCAATGTTTAATGTGACCAAACCATCTAAGATGACTCTCTAAACTTGTCTACCTCTGGAGTTACACCAACCCTTTCACGAATACATTCATTTCGCATTTTGTCTCAAAGTGTAAAGCCGCTCATCCACCTAAGCATTGTCATCTCAGCAAAACTTAACTTAGTTTCATGCTTCTCTTTTATAGGCCAACATTCTACACCAAAAAGCATTGCAGGTCTCACCACCATCTTATAAAATTTTCCTTTAATTTCAAGTGGTAACTTTCTATCACACAATGGGTCTGATGTTTTCCTCCACTTCAACCACCCAACTTGAATTCTACTAATAGCATCCCCATCAATATCACCATCACTTTGAACAATAGACCTGAGATATCTAAAACATTCACCCATTTTAAAGACTTAAATCACTCATTGTTACAATCGCACCACTAGATCTACTAATACTACTAAAATTACATTCCACATATTCAATTTTAGTTTTACTCAAATGAAAGCCTTTAGACTCTAAAGTTGACCTTCAAAATTCAAGTATTTCCTGACCTCTTTCTTGAGTCTTATCCATCAGAAGGATATCATCAGCAAAAAGCATACACCAACGTACATCCTCATGTAAATGTCTACTAAGGATATCCATAATTAAAGCAAAAAGATATGAACTTAAAGCCAATCCCGAGGCGATGTTCACAGTTATATTCCTATTCTTTTTGTAGAAGATATAACCTTATGAGAATTTTAGATTAGAATTATGATATTGAAGGTTTTTTTAAACATTTAAATTTAGGGTCTGTTTGGGGCAAGTACAGTTTATTGACAATCTGTTGATAAGCAGTTGATCCAGATAAGCTGTTGATCAACAGTTAATCCAGATAAGTTGATTGACTGTTTGGTTTATGCTGTTGGAAAACAAATGATTTACAGTTGATCATACATAAATGATCATTCTACCCCTGTGCAGTAATGTTGTTTGCAACAGAGCTGTCTAGGCAATATATTTGTTACTGGAGAAGCAGAAAACCAATATAGAACAAAAAAAAACAACCCTCACTTAACAGTCCAGACATAAAAGTAAACAAGAACATAAAGCAAAAGAAGACCCTTTAACACATTCTTTAGCCTAAATGTTTTTCATCTGTAACATATGAATAAAAGTAGGTTATATAATTTAGAGCAAGCAAAAAAAAAAATATGCTTTCCTCGATCATCTCTTTTAATTATATAATCAAAATTCTAATTTAATTAAAAGTGTGATTAAAATTTCAATAGTTAGGCATATATTAAATTGATAAGTAATATGTTAAAACCCTAACTCACTGTAACTTTTCTTTGTTACCGCCAATTTTTTATTGATCCAAAAGTCAAATTCCTATAGCTTGAATTATGATTTATTTAAAACTTACTATTAATAATTAATCATTAAACTTATATATTAAATTTATAAATTATAAAATTATAAAAAATCTTACCACGTTTGGCTTTAAACCCACACAGAGCGCATCCTTCTTCTTTCTCTGCCACGTCGCCTTCAACTTCGACACAAAGAGCCGCTCCTATTATTCCTTCGTGAGAAGCATCACCTCATCCATCTTCTTCCATCGCAAAGAAATCCCTCGACTTCTCTTCTCGACACTCAATTGGCTCGATTTGAGACTCTTACTTCTCTCCGCAAACCTGCAAGGTAGGGCTGAAAACGATCCCTCCTTTCTTCTTCCTCTTATATGGCGTCACTTCCTCCAGAAAATGGGCTAGGGTTTGGGCAGGCCTCTTCTTCCTAACGGTACCCGCATCCAACCTCACTTCTTCTCTTTCTATCGATCGTTCTGCGCAGGATAGGGAAAAAGTAGCCGGATAATAATTCGTAAAGGAACGCGGGCCGCGCCTGCGGCCGCATTCCTTTGAAACAGAGGGATGACTCGCCCGCACGTATCTGTATAATCCCAACAAACGTGATATCCAAACGCTATGGTGGCGTTTTCAAAATGTCGCCCGCATCTATAAGTTGCCCCAAATGGGGCCTTAGTTGGTTCAAAAGAAGTTGAGATTATTGAACTAAAATTGATAGGACAAAGTGTATTATTTTGATTAAATGGTGAAAGTGAAGCATAATTAGCATGAGTTAGCGTGAGAATTAAACTTTAAAAGCAATATATGTCGTTCAATGAATACAAGGACAAATTGTATAATAAATTTAATAATTGTGAATAAAATAATTCTAACGCTCTTCAATATCAAGTAAGGCTTAAATATCTTGTAGTTACAAATGGTTTGCCTCTAAAAACACAATATTACCATGACCTATTTAATAAAAAAATTAAATAACTAAGCTATAATTCAGATAAAATTCAATTTGAGGATTTGTAGCTTCTGCTTCTTTATATTGTCTGATTTAGTATCTTGTACTATCATTAGCATGCGACTTTTCAAGTGTCTCAAGGAATTTGGTGGCTGGCTGTTTCCTTCCATAGCTCTCCTATCGCCGCCAAAGTTCAGTTATCTGTTTTTATAAACCGAAGGCTGCTGTTCGAAATAGTAGGATTAGAATGTTTTGTTTGATTTAGAATCTGATATTGTTGAATTAAAAACTTGCAGTTTTTAATGATATTTTGGGCATCCTAAGAAACCATTAACAGTGGTTAATTTTGGGTTATAAATAGAATTATTGATGCATGCAAAAGAATGGAAGAAATGCTTAAGAGAACCTTAGAATTTCTCTCAAAATTTGTGTACTATTACGCGATTTCTTGGAGCATATTAGAAGTATAGAGACAATTTTTAAGAGAGGTTTCTCCTACCAGCATGAGGCCCACATCTTCTATTTGGTATTTATATTGTTATTCTTATTCATTTATGTATTTTTCAATGAGTGAATGAAATTTAATTAGGTTTTCTACAATATGGCATTCCTTTTGCAGTGTGAAACATAATCATTGTGAAACTTCTATTTCATCTCAATTTTTCTATGACCGTCAAATTATTGTTTAGAGTTATATGTTCTTTTTCTAATTTTGCATCAAAAGAGAAAATATTTACCTAAGTTAATGGTCTGTGAATTAGGTTTTTTGTGCGTTGTTTATGTAACCCACCCTAGGTATGCATTAATAAATCATGTAACTGCTTAGAAGCGAGTAACTCCACACAAACTCCACATAATTAAGTGGGCTCTCAGTGCATAACACTGGCAGGAATTTAAAAGTTTTCATTTGATGGAGAACGATGGTTGATGTGGCAGACTCGATCATGAGAAAGACATTGTATAGACCTAGAAGCAAGTGAAAAAGCCCACATTATAAGAGAAACCAGTGTAGAGTTCCTATTATACTAATCATGGCCTTACCATTAGATTAAACTTTTAAATTGATGGGCGCCAATCCACGAGTTTATCAGACTTATCTTTCACCCTCAGTATAAATTCACCATCTCATTGAAGTTAATACTAAAGTGGAACTTACTTCAAATGCAGCAAGCATACTAGCATTATTAGTTGTAAAAAGTAAGAAATACCATAACATACAGAAATTCAAAGAGCAATGGTGAAGATATAGAAATCAGGTGTCAATATGAAGCAGAAATTCTCATGAGCCTCCCATCTTTCCACAGTTAAATTTGAGGCATTCAACTTTTGCATTCCGCTCTCCTTATATTGCTTCATAACTCTATAATGGCGAAGAAAAGGCTCACATCTAACAACTGATGCATGGAGCAACATATATAACCATCAACAATAAAGTAGAAGATGTGCCAATGAAACAGTTTAATAGTGTTGGAGCAACATAAACAAAAGCTGAGGAAAACATATAAAGAAAATTGGTACAATGGTATAATAAAAACAATCATAATTTACATGATGAATGATGAAAGCAAACTGCAAAGAAATGGGATTACTGGAATTCTTTCGACTCAAAGGTTTCATGAACTTTATGGTATGGATACAATTGGTTGTTTTCAGCCTAAGTAGGCGAGTTAAAATAAGCCAAGTAGAACAAATAAAAAAAAAAAGTAGAGCAATGGTGTTATAAAAATTATAATTGACAAGCATGATGAAAGCAGCCAGAAAGCAGGTGGCCTTATCTAACAAATTCAAATTTTTAATAAGACTTACGGTTTAAATGTGACTGGCTGTCTCTAAATTGGAAAGAAGCAAAATGGAAACAATTAAAATAAATGTAGTAAAAAATAAAAAAATAACAAAAAATAAACTGCCAGCGTAAACCTAGACAACCTAGTGTCATGTAGGCCAATCACCGCCCTACACAATTTGTAATTCCTCGCCAATATTGATAGGATATTATAAGAGCCATTAGTAATAGTCTGCATAAAGATAATGAATTCTTCAAGCTTCAATCATATTGCGGTAGATCTATTCCGCCACAATTGTAATCCTCCCCAACATTGGGAAGAAGACTACCGTAATTCAAAAGAGTCATTAGTTACAAGCCGGTATAAGATAGTAAATTCTCAAAACCTCAATCATATTGAAGTCTGCATATCCCTTAATAGGTAGATTGGTGTTGTCAAACCTCAACATTAGACTGTCATTCAGAACTAAGTGGGATGGCAGCTCTAATAGAAAGTGCCAATTATAGTTTGCCGGTGTAATGATTCTAGGCAGGTAGAAGATTACAATGTCCTCAGTAATCTTGTGTTAAAATCATTTAGTCCCCGAACACTCAAATAAATAATCATTACCTCATCTAATAGTTAAGAGTCCTGGGTGGGGTTGGTAGTAGTTTCAAACTGATTGGACTAGTTGGGTACCCTTCTGTCAGGTTTATGTCAATTCAAACTTCCAGTGTTCTCTTCATTAAGAGTTCTGAAAGGCCATTTGAAGAAAAAAAATATAATGAAAGAAATGAAACTATGGGTTCCATATTTCCTAACAAAGCAATGGGTTGTCTAGCATTTATGGGCATGATTGGTGGATATAAGGAAATGGCGACTACAATCATGTCATGCTATTTTTTTATTACAGTGAGATATAGTTTTTACAGATGTAGTCTAATCACATGGATCATATGATGATGTGATCGAAGAGCTGATAGTTTTCCCTTGCAGCAAACTCAATATTCTTAATTAAGGACATTGTTTCGACATTTCTTGTATAGTTCAAGCAAAATGTTCATGTATTTACCGTGATTGAGTAGATGTTTTGAAATACCAAATAATTTTAAAAGCTGAGCATAATTACCATCTACAATCATTAATGTGATTTATACATAGATTAAACAGTTAGCCATTATATATAAAGAGATATGTTGTTTCTATCATTTCTGACTAGTGTTAATGAATGATAGTAGGCATAGAACTTATTTGCATTAGGGATTTCATGCTCTTATAACAGTCTAATCAAAACACAAAACCAAAATTATGTTTATGCAAGCCTAAATAGGATTCTAACTTCAATTTGGGGCTGCAGTTAGCCAACATGTAAAAGACTCAAGTGAAGCTTGTATCGACAAATAATAATAGCTAACTTCGTTGCAGATGATTTGTACGCCGTAGCCAAGTTAAGTAAGCACTTAACATTTTCAATTTCATTTATGATCTTCCCTTCTTCCCACAATTCTATTCCCTCAACCCCTCCACCCATCTCACCAAGGACACTGCCATGTGCTTATTACCACAAATTCTCCCTGTTTTTCTGTGAAGGATGACAGATTGTTGCTTTAATCAAGATATTGTTGGCACTTTCTAGCAACTTGATATAAAAGACTAAAAGAAGAAGCAAAGCCAGGTCCTCAAAGATGTTAGCAATCTAAAAATCAGACACTTTTCATATATTTGAACCTGGAGTGGATATTAAACATGTTGTAATTTACCAATACAATGCTTTATCATATAAATGGATATTAAACAAACATTACAATTTTCCCTGCATAGAAATTGTATATGGATGCTCTCTGTTTGAGCGGTTTATACATATCTTGTATATCGTTGACAGAATTTTATTTATGAGGTCTGATAATATATTTTATTTTCATGTAAACTTATTAAATTTTCAAGCAAACGAACCTTGTTAATTTCAAAAGACACAAGTAGATTTGAATGTATAATTTTTTTTATAAGTGATACTCTCATTTGATGCCATACATATCATCTATAACGGAAGTTTCTGTTGATAATTAAGTTGATCATTCAATCTTAAGCATTAATGCTTTGTAGATTCAACTCACCTGATAGGAAAATCATCTACCTAGGATGAAAGGATCAACATCAATTGTATTAGAACCATAGAGAACAAATAATGACTACATTTAAGCTTTCATTTACAATATTTTCCTAGATTTCTGGATATCAGGAATTGATTAAATTTAATTGCCAGGTATTTCATACATTTACTCTTCAACTTCTCATGCGTCACTTCAATGGAAATTACATCATCATAAATACAAAAAATTGTGCATTTTACTAGTTCTATAATTCACAGCAGCCATGGTTAGCCCTGACCCTTGGGTTTCATGGAGTGCATCAAGGTTAAATTGATTATCGTTTTTCATATTGTAGTGGTGCACTGCCTATTGGACCCAATGTGTGATGGCAAAAATAGATGAGAAGATTATCAAACAGTTCATTGTGAAGCAAATAATAGATTTGTAGCAGGCATTTTTCAAAAGAACTATTTTTTAGCATCTCTATTCTTAGAATAGGATGAGTCACAGCTGTCAACACATAAATAGCATAGCTGAGAGATTGTTAAAATTTATATACACTTCCATGAAAATGAAGAATAAAATTACAGTATAAAACAAACATGTAACCATAATGTCTTCAGTAAATTTTTTTTTTGAGACAACTAAAAAGTACAAGAAATCTAAGCAACTCAGAACAGCGACTTTTTCAAATCACAATGATTAAGTACTATATAATATTCAAGTAATGCAAGATGAATCCTTCACGTGAAGGAAAAGCTTCTCTTGTTTGAAAAAAAAGATAATTCACTCTTCCATTTAAAAAAAACAAGAAGGATATATCTAATCGCTGGAAATCAATTCACATTTGTGTTAAACAAAAAGATCAGATCTAATTCCAAAATAAACCATTTTCATTTATCATTAACAGTACATAAGAGGCAAAAACAATAACCTGACAGTGCTCCTCTGACAGAGACTGATTTGAACGAATTATCTGATGGAGATCAGTGTCCATAAGTTCATAAGCAATGTATACATCATTGAATGCCTCCCTTCTTGGTGCTGGTATTATATCTCTGATTGCAACAACCTGCACAAGAAAAAAAAATGATGAGGAAAAAAATTGGTATTTAGTCACCAAGCATTACAAGTGTTTCTAAAGTAGAAAGCCAGGAACAGAATACCAGATAGCAGTCTTCCGTTAAGCTTGAGGAAAAGAAAGTACAATCAATGCAGGGTACCTGACAACTAAGTCCAAGCATATATGCTTACTTAAGGGCCACTTGTTTCTTGTTTAGAGTACTAAAGAGCACCAATGACAAAACTCCAATGAAAAGATCCACGTTAATCAACCTAAATTTTTAACCTGATGGCATCTAATCATAGAAGACATTTGTTCACATGCATCACATTTTAATCGAAGTCATCATCAGGGATATCTCTACAACAATTATCATCTCCTTGAAAATGTCGTCTAACACAGCAAAATTATACTTAAACCACCCTAAAAAATCATGAATAATAAACAGTTAATTTCGTTAAGCCTCATTGTTATTTTGATGAATAAAAATATTATAGTAACTTGAGCTAGCCTCTTGCCTTTAGGATTATGAATTAGGTCCCCTCATGGAAAGATGAAATGTGACATCATTGGAGGAAGACAACTTCCACTAAAATCCTAAGATTTCCCTTCTTTTTTATATTACTATGCTAACAATTTCTTATTTAAGCACAATAATACTTGCAAAACAATATCTACTATGTAGATCGTAAACTTAATTAAATTAAATATTGTATGCAAAGTGAATTAAGTGGGGAAGGGAAACAAGGAATCAAAGAAAATGAGGCGAGATGACGAACAGTCAAACAGAGGGGAGAGTAAGCGAGGGGGTTCACTGCCAACAAATGAGCTCACCCTATAAATCGACGCGAGAGGCTGGAGCTCTCGTGTGTGCGATTAGAGAGCAAAGGACGAAAGAAGGAGAAGGTGTTGTGTATCTTCTTACCCGAAGAAGCGGCGTAGCACGTTGTGCTCGAGGGAAGAAGAGGATCATTGCATTGTTGTGTCGAGCCGCAACATCTCTACCGAACAGGGAGAAGAAAGAGGGAGGCGGCGGCACCAAGCGTTTGCTTTGTTGCGTTGAGTCGCAGTGTCAACAGGGAGAAGGAGCTACGTCAAATCTGAGCATCACATGCCGAAAAGAAGCTAGCCTGTGTGTAAAGGAGGTATCGTGGTCTGTGGGAAAAAATTTGAGTACATAAGACGTACGCAGTGCTGCATGCGATACCCAATTAGAGGAAGACACATCAGCTTCGTCGGCCCCACCTTAAAACAAATAGAACTTTTACCAGGCGTGACCCGTCGACCCGACCGCCATTGTAACCACCATGTAACCCCGTTGTAATTTCCGTTGTCCCCCCTGTAAAGCGCTTGTATACCCTATGTAACCCCGGTGTAATCTCCGTTGTCTCCCCCCTGTAACGCGAGTGTACACTGGATGTAATACCGGTGTAACCTCCGTGCTCACCCCCCTATAACACGGCTGTATACTAAATGTAACCCTGGTGTAACCTCCGCGGTCACGGCCCTAAACTGCGGCCCTAAACTGCGCGTGCACACTGGATGTAACTCCGGTGTAAGTTCCGCGGTAACGCCCCTGTAACGCGCTGTCGGCGCTAAATTATTGTTGTGAAACCAGTGTAACCTCCGCGGTCACTCCCCTGGATGTACATTATATGTAACCCTAGTGTAACCTGAACACTGTACCGCGCGTGTAACCGGAATGTAATGTCCGTGTAAAGTAGTCTCCGCGGAATCGCCATTGCACCTTTTGTGTAACTTCAATGTAACAGCGAGTTACGTGCATGTAACCCGATGGAACTGCGCATGTAACGTTGGTATAACTGCGATGTAACCCTCACGTAACTTCTTATAACCTATTTACCCTAGTAAAAATCAAAAAAATCACATAGTAAGAAATCGTATTCGAAAAAAGGGATTCGCGCCGCTAGAGTTGCTTTATCGTATTCGTTTTCAAGGTTAGGGTTTTTGCTCTTGTGAGGGAAGAGTATAACGGAGGATAAGGAGGAGACTACGAAGACCTTGGAAGAGACCAATGGTGCGGATTTGGGTGAGGGTAACCAGCCGGAATGCGAGCAAGCAACCGTTACGGTGAAGGCGGCCGTAAGCAGTTCAAGAAGAAGAACAGTCATCCAGTTTCTAGGTATTAATTAGATTATTGTGGCTATTTTCATTTAAATGGTGATATTGTGCCCGTGGTTATGAAACACAACAATTATATCACGTCCAAGGTTATATACCACTTTTAATACAGTAAAAATTATTCTATGTTTTGATTATTGTGGCTGTTTTCATTTATTTATTGAAGCTTGTTTAATGGTGTTAAATGAATTTTAAATGAAGTCTTAATGTCGTCAAACGGATATATAGATGATACTAAACTATTCTCTTGTATTGTTGTAGGTTTTTGAACCCAAAAGTAATGAATTGCAGATGTCGTCCATCTGCAGTACGAGAGGTTCTCGATAAGGTCCGACTAAAAATCAATGAAGACACATGAAATAAATTGGAAGCCATGAGTTTGACTCAATTTTTTGAACTCCCTTTGTACCCTCAGGACAATGTTCTGACGATGCACATAATAAATTGTTGGGACGTTGATCGAATAGAATTCAATTTGGGAGGGAAAATTTGTTTCTGATGAAGTTGCATTACTGCTAGGCATGCCCAATAGAGGGTTTCCTGCATGTTGGACCAATGTTTCGCCTGATACAATGGATGCAAGACAAATAAAGACTGCCCTACTCAACTTTTCACCTGGGGAGTCACCTCACAACCTTTTGCAATTAATAATCAAGTTTTTAATTTCAAATTTGATTTATCCTTCAAGCAACATTAGAGTTTTGAAAGAATTGTCCTGTATTTGCGAGAATGTAGATACTTTTGCAGTGTATAATTGGTCAGCAACATTATATGGATTTCTACATATGCAACTTAATGTTGTGTCACTAAAATTAAAAAAGATCAATGGTTCTGTATTTCTTCTATCGGTTTATGATCTACCAATAAATTTTAAAAGTTTCTTTAATCAATTTTAAAATAATTCATCATGTTTAACGCAGATCTGGTTTTATGAGCACACTTCCTTGGTCCTTCCAGCATTGCCTCAGGCTAGACCAAGAATGCTGAGGTGGTCAAATGTGAGGTGAAATACTGTGAAGATTCAGCTAGCCTCTGAGAGGCTTAGGTCTGCCGAGGTCAGCAATTTAGTTTTTTATTCCATAGAATTTGTTATATTCACGTGATACTTTCATTAATTTTAATTTTATGTAATGTCTTGCAGGTCTTTGATTATTTTTTTAAAATTAAAGATAGTGAGCATCGTCTACTTGGCTCTCCATTTCAAGAATCATCCAGTCTTGAGCAACATCTCCCACAAAAGGACGTTCTATCCCAACCACAGTCGCCCGCATTCATTGATATTGTTGATGTTATAATTCCTTATCATATCAGTCCTCCACCACATGATAAGTATCAACATACTACATCTAGCATTGAATTTGAAGAAATTCATGAATAACTCAAAAATCATAAATTATTCTTGGAATTTCAAATCTCAGTTCATAATCGTCTTATAAAGCTGGAAAATATAATGACAGATTTAAAATCTGAAGTTAAAGAAATAAATAAAATACTAAAACAACCTGTTGGGACATTACCCACTAAATGGGTGAAAGAGTCCCCGCTAGGGAGCCTAATTCATAGAATTAAGGCAACATAGGGCAGAAGAAAAAAGACTCTCAGTTCTCCATTTATGGTATTTGAACAGAAGAAGAGACAAAAACCAACTCAGGAAGCGGCTGAAGAGCCTGAAGAGGTTGAAGCCTTGCACCTAAGCATTATCCTTAAAAGTTCTTCCTTATTAATTTAATTAACAAAATTTCTTATTTAATAGATTGATATTGTACGTACATGAAAAGTAAATAAAGTCGATCAGCAAGCCATAACTGGTGACATTACTTTTGATCATACAACTGTACATACTAAGGTAGCTGATGAAGTTCTCCAAACACCATCTGTAGATAAACATGACGATCAAGAACAAGATGACATGCATTATGTTGATGAAGACTACCTTGATAAGGTATATAACACTTCCTTGAAGTGTTCAAACGGAATGCTTAAATATTTCCATCTTATAATGTTTGTGTTTTGCTTATAGGTATGTTCAGCCCCACTTGCAGTCGATTTTCCTGCTAGAGAATAAATTCTAGATTATATACGGGAAGCAATCGATATTTGTTGTAACAAATTCACTGACATGTAAGTATAAAATTTTAATTACTGATTATCTTTTACTTTTCTAATTATTTTTTATCTTACTTAAAAATTTGAAATGCATGGGTGACTTAATAATTGATATGGGACATGTATCGTTAACCCGACATTATCTTGATGAATTACTCATCAACGGGTGGTTAGCAAACGAACATGTCGCTTGTTTCGCTATGTCGATTGTTTCGCTATGTTAATGGAGCAGAGCAATAATCCAGAACTATAACTATACAGATCTTACCTATATGTGTCTTCATGTCACTGGGTAAATTTTGAAATTCATGTGTCGTAATCGTACAGCCAAATATTTCTTTAATTAATAATTATTTTTATGTCATATATATCCTTCTCTGCAGCTGTACAAGGTATGGAACGTAAAAGGCTTTGTGGAGCACATTACGAAGCGGACCACTAAGAATGTGGAGTTAATTTTGCTACCAATAATCAATAATCAACATTGGACACTGCTTGTTCGATCAATTAAGGATCTCAAATGGAGGTTATACGATTCATTGCCCAACATTATGTATTTGCATATAACTAATGTCATTGTAAGTATGCTATCTTTGTTAGTTATATGTTTCTTATGATCTTGTTCATTTATTTCTAAATATAACTATGCAGATTAAACATTTTCTGAGCGATGTGGGGGAAGCATTTGAAGTTGATCTTAGTAAATGACAAGTTGTAATGCCTAGAGGCATTCCAGTGCAAAGCAACAGTACCGACTGTGG